CTTTTATTCATTTTGATGACAAGTATTTTCGGACAGAGGGAGTATTCTTGTAGCCATTCTAATTCCTGCAGAAGACATCTGAAAGCAAGTCATTTTTTGGTATTTTTTGTTAAGTAGCAACAATCATAATAAACTATATGCAAGCGGGTAAGCAATAACCAAGTGCTATGCTCCCCAGGAACAGTGCCAGAAAATGCTTGATGACATGCAAGTGCACAGGACTGTTCTAGCACTTTCATGATAAATGAAGTGTCGAACCCACGGCGAGCAAATAGGAAGGAATTACAAATCCCGCAACTACGCTATCACTTACGTAGCTACGTATGCACCCAAACCATAGTTTGGAGATAGCCTATTATAGTAAGTTGCTAGGAAGACAAATAAAAGGATAGTGTTTACTAAACTACAAACAAGAAATAAAAGACAGAAAAGTAAAGAGAGTAAACTACGTGAATAGTGCTTGAGTAGTAAACGTTCTCAAGGGAATTAGAGTCATCATCACCACAAGTATGATGCTGAAAACACTTGATAGACATGGCTCTCAAACTTGCCTCATACGCCCGGGCGGGCTGCCTGGTCACTGACCGGTCATGTTTTATCAACCCAGACGGACGCCTCAAATGGGTATCAAACGCCCGGGCTGAACGGCACTCCCATATCCAACACAAATATGCATGGGGCGGATATGGGCGCCCCTGGGCAGGCCCGCCATGTCGGACTGGCGAAGGGGTCCCAGCCGGAAACGCCCTCAAACCCGGGAGTCTGAAGCTCGCCTCCTCCGTCGGACCGGTGGCGCCGCGTGGCGCAGCTCCGGCGGGCCGCGTAGTGCATTGCCCGGCTATTTAAGTCGACCGGCGGCACCGAAACCCTACCATCCATCCACATTTTCCTCCTCCTGTCCGCCACCACCACTTTCCACTCCACCCGTCTGCCTAGTAGCCATGCCCCTCACGCCACTGGGTGAGGAGCGAGCCCTTTCTGACCCCGGAGCGCCGGCTCGAGCTCCTTGAGCAGATCTGCGCTGTGCGCGAAGCCCGGATCGTCCCGGGGCTACCTCCGGATGAAGTGGATCCGGAGGAGGAGGAGAAGGGGGGGATGAGCCGGAGGAGGAGGATGTGGGGGACGCTGGCGACGGAGATCTGCAGGCGGAGCAGCAGGCCATCCTCGATTCCCTCCGGTCGGAGTCGGCTGCGGAGGTAAGACGTCGTCGCCGGCAGGAGATGAAGGCGCAAGAGGCCGCGGAGGAGGCGGAGATGTTCGCCTATATGGATGAGGTCGAGAAGGAGAAGTACGAGATGGATGCAAAGTGACTAATTTGAGACGTGACCGGTCAATGCCCGGCATCTGCGGGCATTTGATGGGTCAGATTTGCCGAGTCCAGCTGTAGATGCTCTTATGACATAGATTGAGATCATATTATGTAGACATGTTGTACGTTTGGGAGGCTTAATAATCGAATTTGCACTAGTATACAGACACAACCATAATGAATATAGTACCTCTATTCCTTTAAAAGGAATGATAGGATAGGAGAAATTTCCGTGGGTGGAAATCCCTGTAGGAATCCTCTAATATCATCCGAATTGAATGAGCCCTTTGTAGGAAGTTCTACATCTTCAGTTGAAAGGTTTCAATCAAAAGTAGTTGAATGTGAATCGACGATTGGGGACGACAACCCAAGCTAGATGAGTTGTTAGCAACATGCGAGTTAACTTGTGGGCTGTCAATATGTGGCACATCTTGCCCCTGATTTCCTAAGGCCATGTTCGGTTAATCCCTTTGCCACAGGGATTGAAGGGGATTGAGAAGGTTTGAGAACGATTTTGACTTGCAAGGGATTTAATCCCCTTCAATCCCTTTCAAACCTCTTCAAACCCTTCCAAACCGAACAAGGCCTAAAGGATAATTGGCCTAGAGGTATATATATAATCAAGGGGAGAATTAATAATGTCTTGGCCACTGCTATTATACTCGCCCGCGCGCGGCTTGCTTTTGCATTCAAAATCTCATAGTCTTCACGAGTATAACGTCCCATCTGCACTATCTTCGCGGTCAGCTCGTTGATTGGTGGTGGGATATGATTCGTCCAGGGAATGAGTGTACGTAGTCTTACACTGGTACAATCTTCTCCTCCGTCTCAAAAGATAAAACGGCGTTTCAGGCTTAGTTAGTAGTACCAAAAACTAGTCATAACTTGCTGATGATGGATTGATCCTAGCTTTGACCTCTGGAAGGAGAGCAATAATGCACACGTATTTTACACTCCTTGCTTAAAATGTTTTGAATTATGAATAATATCCCCTAAAATGTATTATGTGGCAGCTGCATCAAGATGGTGCATTTGTGACGAATTTACACGCGAGCTCTGCATAGCGTGTGCGCACAACTAACACCACATGCATGCATGCAATACAAGGCGAAGCATAAAGCCATCAATATTGGGTAAAAACATTTGGGCCGTTTGTTCCAAAAAAAGCACGCACCGACTGGTAGGTTGTCTGCGCCCGCCACTGCTTGCCTGTTCCGTAGTAGTGACCCTGACCCACCGGAGATAGATAATCTTCATCCATCTAATCATATGCTGCGTTTGTGAGCAATCCATTGACTTTCTAGATATGGTTACGTGTTCCGCTAGGGAGGAATGTGCTGCATACCGTGCCGTGCCGTGAGCTAGCTATATAAAGTAGTACTACGTAGCTAGCATCTCAAGACATCTTCTATATCTAAATGGAAGCCCCCCACTACCTGATTTTCCTGTGTTCTCGTGCGTCCACGTCATCACAAATGCTATCAACCGTTTGATCACCACGGATGGCTCAGATCTACAGCTAAGAATTGATCCCTGTGCTCCACAACCCTCGCGTTAACTCTTCCCTCTCACGACCCACAGAAGCAGAAGCGGAAGCGAATGCAAACCGTCCTCAAGTCGAAAGGTCGGCCCTTCATGCCAGGAATCCCACATTAAGGTGGACGCTATGTCTCCAATTCCCCATCGCACTCCTCCGAAGCGATGGACAGAACAGAGCTCAGCCTCCTCTAGGGTTTGCCTCCGCCGTCGGGGGTAGTACCGGCGGCTACGTCGGCGATGGCGGGCAGCGACGTGGCTCCGTGGCTCCGTATATCCTCCAACCCAATCCTATTCGCACCGCTCGGTTTCCTGTACGGTCTGGGCGGCGCAATAGGCCGGGGGCGCCATAGGCTGGTGCGCGCAGAACATGGCCGAACATTGTGGCTGCGGGGTGGTGGGCCATCGAGGTTGCTACTCTCGAGCCCGTCCGCGCCGGCGTGACGCACTGATCACGCCTCGGCATCGAGGACCTCTGGTGCATCAAGAGGCTCGCCGAGGGCTACAACAACGGACTTCTGGGCTACAACAACTGACCAAGGCACCGCCTGGGCGCTACATCTTCCTCGACCCAGGGAGTTGTAGCTTCTTTTTCTTCTTCTTCTTGGAATCAGTTTGCTACGCACCTGCCATGTGGGCCAGCCAAGACCAAGGCCTCTCCTAGAAGCTGACTCAGTCAAGCCCAGCAGGTAGCCGGCGCTCGCGTGACCGGCTTGGCCCATCTACCGGACGTGCCCCTCTTAAGCAAAAACTAAGGCTAACCTGAGGGGATAAGGAGGGTAAAAGAATATTTTGTCCGTCTATCTTCTTCCTATCCGCTACTCTGTATCTCCGCTTAACCCTCTTCTCATCTACAGAACTATGTGTTCTTGTGACTGAATCCTTTGTGTGACACAAAGCGATTGCTACTAATCTCTGTGGGTTCGTAGCACAGTTCCTCTATGTTTTCTTCTGCTCCGTCTGATCTGGCATGCTCCCGCCAGAGCACTGTCCTCCTCTGAACCTACTGAATTCTAGGATGTGGTAAATCACACATGTAGGTGTACGTACCTATTCTCTGTTTCAACTCCATTTACGTTTGGTGATGTGGTTATAGCTCCCGCTCTCACCCTCTGGTCGACAGAGCATGAGCTGCTTAACTGCAACTATTTCTTTGAGCGTATGGTTAATGCCATGAACAGCAACTTTCTTAACAGAGCGGAACAGAGTGTAACCCTGGTCGCGTTTGGGAAGCTTACGTTCTATTATGGTTTTCCATCCAGTGTTGGCATGCCTTAAAAGTGGAGTCATCTTATTTGCAAACCTCGAAGATGTGTATTATATTGTTGACTAAAATGTTGTAACAAAAAATGTTGATTCTTATCTAACTGCTTCTATCCTTCTTTTGTTACTCGGTACAAGAAAGTTGGATAGGAGACACTTTGGTTTTATTCCCTTTTGGTCCACTTATATTACCTTATTTGTTCCCATTGCAATGTACGGATGATGGAATGGCCTCCTAGAAATGGTTAGTTTTGTTTGATGATGTTGTGTTGAAGCAAATGATATGTTACTTGGAGTTTTTTTACCGTTCGAGTCATGTAATGTGAACCGACAATCAGGCTAAAATTCACACGTCAAATAAACTATGGTATTCCGCAGCAACGCGCGGGGTATCATCTAGTTATTAGTAGTTGCAAGGACGGACTTGCAAGAGCTGAGCAATGGAGGGTGGCCGGGTGCTTACGGTTCTCCTCATGGTGCTCCTGCTTGTCGGCCTCGCTGACTCGAGCCCTCCGCCGGAGCCCGTGGTTTGTGCCCACGGCACGTCGGACTGCACTATCTCCAACGCGTACAGCTCCTTCCCTGACCGCACCGTCTGCCGCGCGGCCAACGCCATCTTCCCGCGCACCGAGAAGGAGCTAGTCGCGGCCGTGGCGGCCGCTGTGGCGGCCAAGCGCAAGGTGAAGGTGGCCACCAAGCACTCCCACAGCTTCCCCAAGCTGGCCTGCCCCGGCGGCCGCGACGGCACGATCATAAGCACGGAGCGGCTCAACCGGGTGGTAAGCGTCGACGTCGCCAAGGGGTTGATGACGGTAGAAAGCGGAATGGTGCTCCGCGACCTGATCCAGGCGGCCGCCGAGGCAGGGCTCGCGCTGCCGCACTCGCCGTACTGGTCAGGGCTCACCATCGGAGGCCTGCTGGCCACGGGCGCGCACGGCAGTTCGCTCAAGGGTAAGGGCGGCGCCGTGCACGAGTACGTGGTCGGGATGAGGATGGTCACGCCGGCGCCGGAGAGCCAAGGGTTCGCGGTGGTACGGGAGCTCTGCGCCGACCATCCTGACCTCGACGCGGCCAAGGTCTCCCTCGGCGTCCTGGGCGTCGTTTCCCAGGTACGTGGCTCAAGAAATGCCTTTGCATGCATATACTATATTCTCTTCGTTTTATTAGGTTGCCCACATATGCCGTGTTCAAGAATTGTTAAAACCAAACGGAAGAATTGTTACTCTCTTTGTGCACAAGTTAATTAACTAATTAGTTGTTTCTCTCCAAAAAAGCTAATCTTTTTTTACTGATATGTGCAGGTTACACTGGCCTTGGAGCCGATGTTCAAGCGGTCGGTGACATTCGTGAAACGCAATGACTCTGACATGGCAGAGCAGGCCGTCGTGTGGGGTGGCCTCCATGAATTTGACGATATGGCATGGCTGCCACAGCAGCGCAATGTCATTTACCGCAAGGACGATCGTGTGGCCATCATGTCAGTGGGTAACGGCCTCAATGACTACCTAGCCATGCGATCCAGTCCGACGGCCGACCTCATCAGCGGCAGAGTCATGCACGAGCTTCTTGAGAAGAAGAACAACACCGTCGCTCGGTGCAAGGAGGCACCCACGTCTGCATCGCTGTTTGAGAAGGCAGCATACGGCTTTACAAACAACGGCAGCTTGTTCATGGGGTACCCGGTGGTAGGATTCCAACACCGCATCCAAGCATCCGGTTTGTGTCTCGACAGCCCAGAAGACGCACTCCTCACTACGTGTCCGTGGGATCCCCGCATCCGGGGAACCTTCTTCTACAACAATGCCTACAGCATCGCGCTCTCTAGGGTATCAGCATTCATCGCCGACATGAAGCAGCTCCGTAACAAAAACCCGAAGGCCTTCTGCGGAATCGACGCCGGTTTGGGTATTCTCCTCCGCTATATCAAGGCATCTTCTGCCTACCTCGGCAAGCCGGAGGACTCGGTCGACTTTGATATTACCTACTACCGGAGTTACACCAAGGGTGAGCCCAACCCATACTCTGGTGTGCTCGACGAGCTCCAACAGATGGCGCTACACAAATATGGTGCCATCCCTCACTGGGGCAAAAATCGCAACTTTGCCTTTGAAGGTGTCATTGCCAAGTACCCCAAGGCCGACAAGTTCCTAGAGGTGAAAGGAAGGTACGACCCCGATGGGATCTTCTCCAGCGAATGGAGTGACCAGGTGCTTGGCATTAATGGGAGCCCGATAATTGTCGAGAAGGGTTGCGCCATTGAGGGACTTTGCGTCTGCTCAGAAGACTCGCATTGTGCACCGGAGCAGGGCTACTATTGCCGGCCTGGGAAGGTGTACACGGAGGCGAGGGTCTGCTCGTTGCAACCCATCTGATGTGTTTAGATGGTTGCGTTGAAATTATTTCTGCTGCATGTCTTTGAATACTTTTGTGAACATTATGCTTTTGCTTGTCAGGTTTATGTGTGCCCCATGGCGATAATTAAAAGTGTCCTATGAGAAATTGTTCCTTCACCGGTATGATTGTTGATTGGTTTGATACACTGGTGTTTTCCATTTCGGTTTATATTTTGGTGTAACTTTGTTCTGTTGTCCTTTGACAATGCATTCCACCCCCCAAGTTAATTAGAATGGTTGCATGGGGAAAAATCTTAAAATTATTTGCTAACTGACAGGCTGATCTGCTTTTCTTGCACGCACTTTTACGTCGGCCAATCAATTGTTTTGTAGAATTTATCAATGTAGAAAGGGGTGCATATCTAAAAAATATCCACACATCTAAAAAATGTTCATGCAATGTAAACAATTTGTACGCACCATTCAAAATAAATGTTTAACATATTTATAAAATGTTTAACATGTATTTGAAAAAGTATGCATCATATATTTGGAAAAATTTCAATGTGTATCAAAAAATATTCAGTATGTATATGAAATTTGTAAAATGTGTATTCAGAAAATGTTCAGCGTGTATATGAAAAACTGTTGATCATGTATTTTAAATAAATGGTCAAGCTGTATCTGAAAAATGTCTCGTGTGTAATTAAAATGCTCAACATGTACGAAAAAGTGTTTCAAATATATTTGAATTTTTTTTATAATTATTCCAAAAAAGATCAAACATATATTTTTAAAAATGGTCATCATGTATTTGAAAAATGTTCGATGTGCGTCAAACACATGTTTAACGTGTATAGGAAAAATAAAAAGGTATAAAAAGTAGACATCTATTTGAAACAAAAAGGGAAATAAGAAATGAATATAAAAACATAAATAAATAACCAAAATAAAAACTAATGAAAACTAAAAAGAAAAACACAGAAAAGAGAAAAGAAAAACTTATGGAACATTCCCAAAACCGATGGAAGATTCCACAAACCGGTGCAGAACCACTCACTAAACGCATTATATTGGGCCGCCCATCCTAATGATCGCCTACTACAAGACGGTACACAGTCACACACTAGGTGAGAAAATAGCTCTCGCGCTATTTTAAGGCGGATGTAACACTCACTTATGGCAAATATTTTTAGGGACATGGCCAAATAGTCGACGAGGTGGAGGTATTAATGTCGGTTTAGTGCGGCTTTGGCCAAGGTTCCATTCGGGTGTTTTATTTTCCTTTTCTATATTATTTTAGAGGTTTAATCGGGTTCTTTCCGATTTTTCTATTTTGGGTTTTATTTTTCATTTTTGAATAACATTTTCTCAAATACACGTTGAAATTTTTTCAAACACATTGAACATTTTTCAGATACACGTTAAACATTTTAAATGTATATTAAACACTTGTTAAATCCACACTTAATGTCTTTTACAATACATCGTGAACATATTTTATTTGTTATCGACATTTTTCATTGCACCCCCTTTTTACATTTCACGAATATTTATAATTATTGTCAAGAATATAAAAAATTAAAGGTGTGGAAATTTATTGAATGTCTTTAACATTTCCTTGAACGCTAAGAATATTTTGCCAAATGCCATAAACACTTCACTAAAAGTGCGCGAACTTTCTTGGCATGTGAAAACAAATTTGCTGATAAGTTTGGTTAGCTACATTCTTATGCCAAGGAGAATGGCATTTCAGTGATAAAGAATATGAATAGACACAAAACAACTTTTATAATATGTTTCATCTTCCAATATCTACTATTCCCCTCCAGCAATATCATGAGCTACATATTTCAATCAAAAGCCTATACATGGATCTCACTCCAGACATATGGAAATGTTGAGGACAGCATACCAAATATTCAAATAGGGAGGTTTATAACACTCTCATTGGCAATCCTTAAAAAGCTACCGCACCTTTTCACTGGGTCTGAAAATCCTCTGTTTCACTTAAACAGAGGTTGTTCTTCTAGCTTCTCATACAATACAGATTAAGCACTAGAGAACTTATGTGGGGGGAAAGCTTTCATATTCATAGTTATGAATGTGTACTATGTGATGAAGCTTGCACTGAGGATCTTATGCAACTGTTCTTTAGATGTGATTTCAGCGAAAACTTCTGGCTATATCTTGGGATGGAATGGAACACTGATCTACTCTAGATATTATTCAGATGTTGATCAATGGCAGAAACATAATGAATTTCAGTTGCTTCAGAGAGGTGTTCAATGTTAAATTATAGATGGGCATTGGCCCATATAAGACAATGATTAATGGTTAATCTCTAAGGCCCATGTAGGTGTATGACAACTGGTGGAAAGTTTAGTACCACCTCCAAAGTTGAGGAGAGTTGAGACTCCTTTATAAGAGTTGCTCTTCCACTAGCCATTGGGGTCTTGAGAAGAGGAGTGGTACACGTGTGCTCCTCCTCCGCCACCCGCCTCGCCTCGCCCGCACGTCATGAGTGAGCTGAGATGAGCTCAGACCTATGTGTGTGCTCTATCTTGCCGGTCACGAACACTTAATTAATCTTAGATTAATTAACAAGACACTAACGGATGTGACACTGTCCGAGACGTTGGACCGTAGGCCGTTTGCTTCCCTACCTGACGACACATATATTGGATGCGCTGGGCAGTGCAACCAACACACTCACTCCCTCCTCGCACAACCCTTGTTGTCATGCAATGTTCCTCTCACTGACCTACCTCCGGTGATCACATCCCGTCCGCATGCACGGACAGACGGGAGAGCAGGCCTCTGGAGCCACGTCCTTTGAGATCCTGTACCAGGGAGAAGGGCGATAAGGTTTTTGGTGAGCGCCTCGGTGCGACTGCTCCCGGTTCGTGTCCATCCTCATCCTCTTCTTCCACTACTCCCCCAACACCAACGCCATTGCTGGAGAAGACACTGCCAAGAAGGTTGCGGAGAAAGCCAAAGCTGCTGGTACCGCGACGGCCCTAGCCTACTCTAGCAGAGGGCATGACTTGTTCATGCCCTACTTACTCGTTCATGTGCTAGTCGTATATGCATTTTACATGGTTGATTTGGTTCTATGTTCCTTATGTGCTCATATGTTTAGGTATCGGTATGAGTTGCATACTATGAATGCCATGTTTATTATTTACTTGTGGATTAGATTAATAAAAAATGTGCTAATATATCCAGCACTAATCACATGATGCTGGAGCAGATGGAATCGCAGAAATTTTATCATCATTAACCACAAAGATCTGAATCTGAACCAATGTGCTTTCAAGGGAAGTTTCCAACTCGTGATGAGAAAGGCCAAACCAAGTCTAAAGGATGGGATGCAAGCATGGCTAGATAAAGTATGAATTCCTTTGTAATAAAACAACCACACATTTGAACATACCCATTTATTAATGAAAAACGAGATACAGTAGGGGTCTTGCCTGCTGTATTATGATAGAAAAGAGAACAAATGTTCATACATATCAGAGATTTCTAGTAAAAAAAAGTCTTAATACCTTTTCATAAAATTTCAGAATTTAACAAAAAAGGGGAGAAGTGAGAAGAAAAACATAAATTGCTCGTACGTTCGCGGCTTTGCGTAGACTCGTTGAAAGGTGTCATAGCGTGTTGGGCCTGACCCATTTAGAGGTAATGTGTCCATCTCGCAACAAGGGAGACATACACTCACCTCTTAGTTTTACTAGATGACCCGTTGCGCCAATGGCGCAAAGGCCGAGTATAAGTCAAGTATTGGGAGAGTGAGCATATATTTCTTTTATCATTGCTGTTTTAAAAGCATACAACACAACAGTCTAAGCAAGAAATAGCCGATAGTTAAACATGCAGGATGGTCTTAAGGGATTACATAAGATCTAAAAGGATGATAAACACAAAGTCTTGGTAGGCATTTATACTAACATTAAGTTATATAACAAGCGGCTCTTGCAACTTGCTTATATTGAGTAGACGATCAGGCGCAGTCCCTTGGAAGTGCATTTGAAGGCGAAAGCATATGCTTGCCCTTTGCTCATGTGTGCCTGAGGGAAGAAGTTCTCCAGCCAATGGTGGCTCTTTTGTCAAACACCCTTGATAAAGCGGTTGTGACAGCGGTAGTCCCGTCTACAGTTGTGATTGACAGTTCACCGTGGTCAGCATCCATGTATGGGAAAAGGGGAACCCGTAGAAAAGGTAATGCTAAAGTACTATAACAATAAAGATTAGTTACTACGGAGTATATCATTTTATACCATGCTATTGTATGAAATAGGACAGAGCAATTGCAAAGGATTACCATTCTTTTGTCGTTTGTTGCAAATGTCTCTGGTGGTGCTGCGGATGATCTTTCACAGTCTACAAACATTATGGTTGTAGAGCTTAACTATGTTGCGCCCACAATGTGGCGACTAAACTCATGTAAGTAGTGGATGCAAGGCTCACCTATGTTAAATTGTATAAAGTTATATCATTTAGCAGTTGTTGCCAGAGTTGTTGCAATGAGAAGAGTAATGTAGCTCTTACCACGGAGAATGTACTTTCCAGGCTTTAGTTGGATTTTCTTGCCTTTGAACTTTTGGATTGAACCTGCTTTGCGTGGGCGATGAATATACTCGAATGGCTTATTGTGCTTGCGACACAGTGGTTCGGCTGTGATAGCAAATAGATGACAACATAAACAAACAAAAGACCTATTGAATTTGAAAACACAGCTCATTTAATTGGATGGCTATTTAGCTTGTGTGTATTAGTGAAAACAGAAAATGCTATTTATCGTGTAAATCAAAGCATTAATGAATAGCAAACAGAACACCTACTGGACCCCGAAAGAAGTTTGCTTTATTAGATAGTTGATCAACTTGCATGCATAAGTGATAAAAAAGGACCAATCAAATAGCATGCATTAGTGAAGAAGAAGAAACATTCTTTCCAATGTAGAAACAATCATAAGTATATTTTTGAGCATTACCATGGGTAATTTGTCTACCGCTGATATCACTGGTTGTGTCTGCTTCTTCTTGTTTAACTGCTGTCATCTGGAAAGAAGTAGTAGAATAATTAAGCTGGTTTATCTGGCTGTGTTTTCAGTTGGGATGTTTAACAGTGAAGCATGTGTCTTAATATAGTAAAAG